AGTTTTAAGTTGCCTGTAAACCAATTAGTGAATTTCGTGAGGTAAATTTTCTTTAGTGCATACAATATTTTCAAGCTATTTAACCACTTCTATTCTTTACGATTGAGAGAATAGTTAATTTTCTTGAAGTTTAACTTTTTCTCAAAGTTTGTTTCACACAAGTGCCAGGTCGTAATTTTGTAAATTTTCCTCGTGTAGTAAGTACATTTAGGTATATTTTAGGCATATGAAGCTATTTTACTTTTTACAATATCTTGCTAGTTCTCCTGTTATAAACAGTCAGTAAATATACTTTAACAATTTAGTGGAAGAACATTTTAAAAGAAATGTCGGTAGAATGTTTTATACGAGAATTTTAAATCTTTATATTATAAATCAAGGAATTGCTGGAAAGCCTATGTTGTTCGCAACAGCAAAAGATCATAGATCATTATACTGTGAGGTAGTAAAAAAGGTAGGAATAAGGGATTTTGCTAAAAGTAACATTTTTCATTGATAATTTCCAGTTCTTCGAGCTTGTACTTACTAAAATGTACATGTTTGATCTAAGCAAAACAAATAACGAACCTAGCAAATTCGAGCAAAAATTTAGCCAAATGGTAGGCTTTCGATGGGACCTATCTTTCAAAATTTAAACGCCAAATTTCTATAAGATATATCAATCGATTTCGGTTAGTTGTCAAATAGAAGAAGAATAAGAGTGTCAAGATGAAAGATGGTATGAAGTAGTAAATACCTGTGATATAATGTGAATACATGAAATACACTTGGAATCCTTAGAGGTAGGCAAATAGGAAAGCACTTTGATTCATTACAATAACTCACTATCTCGAGAAATAGTGCATCAATCTGTCAAATGGTTTCCATAGATACAGAAAGGCGAGAAAAATATGCACTTTTGTCGGAGTTCTTAAACTTCTCAGCAAAAAAGGTGTTGATAGTTCTTGGTTATGTTGCTCTTAAGGAGTATATGGAGAATATTGTGGGCAAATGAGGATAATTCCCGAATTTTTAGGGTTCTTCCACAACTTCTAGAGAAAAAAGGACAAAAATAATTGTTATTGAACAGATTTTACAACATTATGCACAAAACGAAATGCTTTTCTCATTTCAAAAAGTTTCTAAAGGATTTAAAGTTTGAAAATGGGGAGATAAAACTAAGGGAGAATTGTTGTAGCGTGAACAAGACGCACCCATCATGGGTCAATGATTGCCGATAACAGCATCGCGTGGTCTCCGACACTAAGTTATTGATAAGGTATGCTCTCTAAATAAAACCTAAAGTCAAACTATCGTGTTTACGGTGGTTTTCTGCTGTATTGGCAACAATGTAGCCAACAGAGAACACTTTGATCCCAATGATTCCTTGTTTTTTTTAAACTCAGTACTTTTTTTTTGAAATAAAC